ATTCTTGGAACTAACTGCTGGGAATACTAATGGTAAATGTTTAGCAAAGCTCAGATTTTTGATCATGTCGGCAAGAAAATTTGGATTTTCCGGAGGAAATTGTGTTAGTTCATTTGTTCCTTTTTTAGAATATGATTCATGCTCAGCAGCAGATGTGAAAACTGCTTTCATTTCCACCCACCTCGTAATAGGCAGCACCAAACATCGAGAAATTTGCTTTTGCTCAGCAATCTTCATTGCAGGCGAAAAAACGACAATTGCTCTATAGTCGTAATGTACACTTCAGTGACGGTGTGATCTCGAAACTCTATCAAGTTCGGGAAAATGTTAGGTGAGGCAGCATGTCTAACGTATTCGATGCGTACTTGAACATTCTTTGATAAGGCGGCAAAGCAATTCCCCAGCTTTTGAAGTGATCTGTGTATTTTCAGAACAATGAAAACGTTGATGCTGTTCCTTCTGCTCAGTTGTGTGAATAGCTTCTGCTACAACCTTCTTCGAGGCTTTGTGCATTGGAACAAAGCGAGGTTCTCACGACCGCTGTTTTTCGCTCTTATAGAGAGTAAGTTTTATTTAGAGTGATTCTTCTGTTAGGTCCTGATCGGAATTTCATCAACAATAAAAATCAACAATAAGCGGCAGTTCGAAAAAATACATATACAAAAACAACTAAACATACAAATCAATTTCAGTCAGCATTCATTTGCCTCAAGTTCTCTCTCATATTGCCGGCCGTCTTGTGGTATAGCTACCGCAAAGTATCACGGAAGGTGAGTTTTGCTCATGTTTCTCCTTCAAGCATAACCCCTTAGTCAGCGGAATCGGGAAGCGAAACCGATCAGATGACGTGATTCTTTTAGGCGGAGCAGAGGCATCGAGAGAATATGGATCGCGATGCGCCCGAAAACACAAAACTTCATTTCAACATGATTACTGAGTCTTGGAAGTAATCGCTTGATCGTTGAATTTTTGAACCGCTTATGTTGATGCTTCCCTGACAGTATCTGTCATTTGGTCGATGTAACTTTGCATTTGACACGAAGTAAACCTGCGAAGTTCTCAAGCGTTCTCAGGTGATTGCCTTAACATCTCTAAAATTTGCTGTGCTGCTGAACAATGAACAATGGACCATAAAATGATGAAACAATCAGATTTATTCGATCCTTCTTCCTAGATGCAGCTCAGTTTTACCTCCATTCAGGATCGTGGCGGCTTTCTGAAAACGATTTGGCTTTGATAACAACTTTTTATTTGGTTATACTGCTTTCACCGTAAACGACAGCGTTGGAAGGAAATGAACAGCAATCAATAGGATCAACACAACTGACAGGATATAACATAATAGATCATCTGAGGAAATGAGTAAATGATGATTATGCTCTTAGTGCCCGTTTCAAGAAGGCCAGAGTCTCCGATGCCAGTAGCTTTGCTGGCTAGCAAGTACATGTGCTAGACCAGCTCTCATGAAGAAGGAATTTCGTCAGTGGCTGTATTACACCTGGAATCAGCTGACCACCCTTTTCTGGGAAATAAAAGAAAGCCGAATAATTACACGAGGATTTGCCTATAAGGTATATCAATATTATCCTCTCCAGTTCCTCTCCTCCGGCTGGGCTCAGCCCGCCGCATAACGCTGCCCTGACAACACCGCCATCAAAATTTGTTCTGAAATAACATATATCATTTAGTGTTCCTTCCAAATGTGCGAAATGATTCTGATAGAATTATTTCGTACTAACTCAGCACTAATTCTCGTTGTGGTTTGCTTCTCTGTAGGTAATCTATAAGCAACAGCAAACTTGAACATGGGTTTCCGTTGTTGTTGACGGATCATTACGACAGTCACGCTTCCGTTGTGTCCTTTCGTCTCGATGCGCGACTGTGCGCTCATGGCTCTCCCAGCTTCACACGTGCTTGATTTGCGCTGCGGTTCTTGCTAAGGATTTTCACAATGGCCGCAGTTCCAATAGCGGTCAGTTGTGCTTCCTTACAAGTTTTTCCACGCTTGGAAAAGCACTAAAAGCTCCACCAGCATAGATCATTTTACTTGATAATACTTACCTAGGGCTGCCGTCTCAGTTCTCTTGAGAGTGCTTGTGTTCCCACAGAGACATGGAAGAGGAATCCGATACGTCGTCAAAATCCCACTCATTTGCGCTCTGCATTTGGACTATTTCACAACTACATGTCGGCCTCGATCTTCTACAACCCACCACTTCATAAGATGATCAAGCCGATTGCTAGCCTTTCTCGTCCGACATTTGACTCACCTCAACACTTTAAAGTCATGACCACCTACTTGATTTCCAAGATTCCTAAGATCCCTATCCATCCAAAGCCCGTTCCCAGTCGCAAGGACCTAGGCCGGCACTATAAAAAATTTAGGTGAGAAGTGGGGTTGGGGGAACACTTCATTTAGCTGTGCCTTTTTGAGGATGAGAGTAAGGATAACTGCGCGCTGCTGCCAATTTTGATTTCCAGTTCTGCGCTTGTTTTAAGGTTTTTGATGTCGTACACGTTCCGATGGAAACCTTTCTGAATCAACTTCGGATGAAGAAAAGATCCCGAGCATACCTAATATTTGTGCACATCACCTCCTCCGGTATCGGACAAAGTGCACTTGAATAGTAGCGTTTGAAAACTTGAATGAGAAATCTGCTAATACGACGTGTTAGATAGGCTACTCCGAACATCCAGCCATTCGCAATCTCCCTAGCCATTTCCAATCATCAAAAGAAACTGCTTTATTCATTTATTTTTTTTATAATGTACACTACACGAGTGTGCCTTAAGGAAAAAACATTAGATCTGATATTAAGTAACCGTATTAAGAGCAAGCCTGCATGACACAAGTTGAGTTAATGCTACGCAATCTGAATGGAATAGGAATGGTACAGAGCGAAAGTCTGCCTTGTGCTGATGACTGTACAAAGAGCAACAAGCTCAGCAATGGCAAGCAAAACCTGCGACTATCCGCACCAGCTGGCTATGGTGCCTTGGTTTCAAAGGAAGTAACCGTATTAAGAGCAAGCCACGAGAAGAACATAAGAACATGCCGGAACATCGGAACACGGGTATACCAATTTCCCACGTAGAACCGATATGATTTAATAGTAGCAACGAAAAGACTTTGGGAGCAATTTTCTTCTTAACATCATAAATTGGACTTCAGCCAGACTATTCAAGGCATTGACTAGATGCTTCGAAATGTCACCGTTGATTACACATGTGTAAGCCTAGTAGCATTGGGATCTTTGCAATGCGAAATTCTTTTCCAGCAACAACATTTTCAGCTAAACTGTACAAAGCCTGTTTACAGCAAAATTATATGGCACAGTGCAGTGCATATAAGAGACTGATCCAAAATTATGTAGCCGTCGGTTTACTTTGGACTTATTTCCTAATTTTTTATTTTTTTTCATTCGGGAATTCGGAAGTCTACTTCTCCGCACAATGTGCGCTTGTTTCACTATGAAGGTTAGGCGCAGCTGAAAACGGTACCACTGCTACACGAGTGTAAATTGAGGGCAAAAACGGAGACGCTGAGTTTTTCCTACGGATTATCTCATGCAACAATATAAACAAGGTTTATACACTATAAAATGTGAAGAAAACCGTGCGTTTGAATGAAATTAAAGGAATCTCTTCGCGGAAAATTCTTGCATTCTTTCTTGACATGAATGTGTCAGTTGTGATCACTGGAAACAGCACACAAAGTTTCACGCATGAAGATTCGGTTTCCGAAGAGAAACAAACGTACAAACGTACAAAAACTACACTCTATGGACAATCGAAGGTAATTCGGGCGGAGCCAAAGGCGAGGCATGGAAAGAAGTTGGCCTTTGGCCGGCTACGTATCAGGCGACGCAATGAAGAATCGGGTTAAAGCGCGCGATTTCGGAGAGTAGAGACAAATCGATCGATAGAATAGGATGGAGTAGAAGTGTAAGATGTGAATGCAATAAAGCAGAAGGCCAGAAAGAGTTTCTAGTGAAGGCACTCCAAGAACCAAGTGGAAGCATCCCCGTCGCCAGCATTTGTGAAAGACGTCCGTGGGCAATTTGAACGCGTAGCAGCCCTTTCGATTTTTCGAATTTTTACCAAAACAAAAGCAATATTTCTGTTCTTTTCATTCTTATCGTGGATAATGAGTCTCAAGCCAGTGATTTATGGCTGAAATAGAATCATGATTTTTCCGCGAAGGATTCCTTAAATAATCAGAAGCAATGAAAAAAAAAAACTAAAAAAATCATAACCCCGAGCAAACAATGGGTAATTTAGGATGAAACTAACAGTGTTAGCTGTACTGCAGCAATTACTGCATGCAGTGTGTGCGCTGGCATATTCGCATATATCTCGGCTAGTCTCAACGATGCTGCGAGCAGTTTGCACGTCTGCCCACTCGATGCAAGAGCGATCAAAACAATGAATTTATTCCGCAGCGACATCTTCCCCACTTCTGCTTTCACCATTCTTTTCCTGCATAGTTCGCAACTTCTCATTTCAAAGCAGAGCGTTAATTCGACTGAGGTATTACACCAGTTCCATAGCATTCTCTAAGCGAATCCCACGCAGAGCAGCATTCGGAATCGCGAGGGAGCATTTTAATTTCTTTACAATAGCTCAGGAAATTATCTCTCACCTCCACGCAGTGGCGCGGCTTCTGTTGAAGCTTCTTCGCGATCCGAAAAATTGAATGATTTTACATTGATTACGATTTCTGTTTCAGGCCGACTAGCACAATAGGCACAACAAACAAAAGCAAAGATGTTCCTGTACAAAAATCATAGCACTAACAAGCTGCACTCCCATCCATATGTACTGCAGAGCGCCAAAAGAATGGTGTAGCCAACAAAGAAATGGTTCAGCAGAGCACTTTCTTCTTTACTATTCAACCTGCTTCTTTCTGACGGCATGAGGCCTGATCGCTTCGAAAGCCGTCTGATTGATTACGTGAATGGAAGATGCAAAGATGGCAAAACTTCACAGATGGAAAGGATCGGTGGCGGCTGATCATTATAATGGTCTACTTCACGAACGATCTTTCCATTATCACCTGTTTTCCTGTCGAAATGCACTGATCAGAAGCTGCACACCCGAACGCTATTCACCATATGCATTTCTGAATGAGAGAACTCCGAATAAAGTGACAGTGACTCATTAACTCAGGTCAGTGATCATCTAACGAACGCAGCGGTGATCTGACCGAACGCGCTGGAACTCGCTGTTGTATAGTCGAATGGTGGCTGTTTTGTGTCGGCGGCTCTCTTATTGTTTCGTGTTTGCCATTTTTCGAGGTTTTGACGTTTGACGTGTCCTCACAAGTTTTCGTGTTGACGGGCATTGGCATTAACATGTTTGTGGCAGACTCGCACACGCTGTTTTTTGTCTGTTCTCAGATGCAGTACCGAGGCATGGTCGCAACATCATCGCCTTCACCACCAATTTCAATTCAGCTCAACAAGCCGTCGGGAAATGTAAGCTAGCTTTCTGTGATGTAAGGCGAACGGATCACCTGTATGCAAGTAGAAACAGTTCATGAGAACCATCTTTCTGACCCACATTCTAGTTTCTCCCTAGCTAAGAATAGATTAATTATCAGCGCGGGGTGGGAGGGGGGAGGGAGAGAAAAGGTCACCGGCAACGCGGACGCGAGCGCGTGCTGGTGACGTCACAGCTGCGGCAAGAGCAATGGAAAACGGGCCAGCACCACTGACACTTCACTCGAACAGTAACAGAGTTGCTGGCACTTTACTAACCAATGCAATCAATAGTGCGGAGAGTGAAATGAGTTTAGCACGTAAAGTGTCATCCTCCCCAAAGAGTAGGAATTTTCAAATGAAATATGCAATGTTCCGATTGTAATCGAGAGGGCACATGCCAATAATACCATAAAATGTTCGAAAACCAAGAATTACAAAGTAGAAATGGGTATTCCAATCCATAATGA